TGAACTGTAGTGAAATTGTGGAGCAAACTGAAAAGGGACATTTACCATATTTCATTTTTATCCATAAAGAACTGAAGCACTTGATAGGCTTTACTGTTGTTTTCACATTAAAGGTAACATGGTAGCAATAAGAATGATAACTCTGCCACAAAGCAGGAAAGTAACCTAGATTATTTACAGTTCAGATCTTTAAACTGTCACATTGGTGTTTGCTAACTCCATGCCATGTGTTTTCATGAGTGAAGGGCTAAATGGAAAGATTAGGTTTGTGGACAGTGTATGCCAAGTTTGATATTTTGACACTGAGCAGGCAGAAAGAAGGCTGTCAAACCTGTACATCAAGGAGAGAGACCATTTGTTAACTGTTTCTGTGTAAAATTCCCAGTGCCTTTTTTAAAGATTTTGGTTGACAAATCCTAGGTAATGGTATTTCCAAATGCTGGATAATTACAGTTATTCCTGACAACTGTAGTCAAAGATGCATGTTGTTATATGTAGTTTGAAATCACTGCCTGTAGATTGAAAACTGCATCTCAAGTTGGAAGAAAATTATTTATTGGATGTTCTACATTGCCCAAGATGAAATGAATCCTGAACTCTAAAATGAGGGTAGATCATAGATCAAGAACATAGATCAAGAACTGCATAATTTGCAACAGAACTGTGAGAGTTTCTGGTCCCCAATTTTTTAATTACAATAATGATATTGCAACAGGATAGGTTGCTGAAATAAAGAAAAAATATTGAAGTGGCAGGACAAGGTTTTTATGTGAAAGCACATTTTCCTGGTGCTGAGCATGTTTAATAAGCAAAGTAAACTTTGTTATCCTAATATTTCAGCTATTTGAAATGTCAAGATACCTAGAGCATTCTTTACTCTTGGACAGCAATCACACTGAGTCTGTTTTACTTAGGGATGTAATAAGTTTAGTTTTTATGTAAGAAATATAACATGATGTACAATGAACTAAACTTCCTAATTCTATCCAAGTAGAGCTAGGAAGAGACCATGATTACTCTTAGGGCGCTTCCAGACAGTGTCATAATCGGGGTCAAAGATGTGGGGCAAAAAATCATGGGACCTGACAGCAAATACAAACACAGAGCTGTCAGTCCCAGAAAATGATCCGTGCCATCCTGACACTTTCTTTGTATTACTTTTTTAAATTGATGCTTCAAGATGTGCTGGACCTCATATGTACTGATGTGGATATCTAAATGTGCACATAAAATGTCTTATTATATCTCCTCATCCTACTGTAATTTGAATCTCTATTTAATTTCATAAACATAATAAAGAAATGGTTGCTGAGAGTTCTCGTTGTAATTGCTTTCCAATTGTGCTTCCAGTTAGCCACCTGTGTATCTATGGCTCCATTTCTTAACAGCCCTCATCAGCTGTTTTGGGATTTTAAAATGTGGACATGCAGCATATAGGAACAAAGCCACATGTTTTCCTTGACTGCAGAGATATACAATAATGTAAATATGCACATTTTTGGCTGAAATCAGGTTTTAAGCACAGCTTTTTAACACGTGTTTTTCACCTATAAATTCAAATCAGCACACATTTTTCTTAATCATCATTTAGCCACTCCCTTTTAACCTGGTTTTTTCCACATTTTAGAGCCTATGCAAAAGGGCCCTTAGAATCCTAAAGATTATGATACACTTTCTTCTCTCCAGAAAAGAGATAAAGGAAGAGTCTGAGGAGAAGGAGGAAGAGAGATCAACAAGCCTTATTTTTCAATGTAGATTTTGAAAGAGGGTTAGCATAGTCCAGAAAGGACAAATGACTGACTAGAAAATTAGAGGAATGTTTGTGTGTCTGCCTGTCTAATCCTCCTGACCTGCAAACACACAGATTTTCAGTGCAAACTGAAGAGCTCCAATAGACCACAAAGCTGTGACATTTATAGGATTAAAAGGAGAATTGATGGGTACATTGTCCCCAATAATAATTTTTCCCTCATATCAAATATTCCTTCTATCTAATGTTTCTAGCATTACAATAAATTAAAACTTTAGTTGAGCATTTAGACATACAGGTTTGGCAGCAAAGAAAAGGGCAGACAAAATTGCCAAGAGAATGTAGATACAGCAAATATGAAGTCTAGGTGTGAACAATTTTCAGTGTCTCGTTCCATAATGCTAGACATTTGGGTTGTTGTAGTGGTTGGGTATCTTCAAATCATTTCTGACTTATGATAATCCCTAAGGTGAACCTGTGACAAGGTTTTCCTGACTAGATTTTGTCTGAGGGGAGTTGCCTTTCCTCTGAGATGTGACTTTCCTAAGCTCAGCCAGTGGGTTTCCATGTTGAAGTAGGGAATTGTGGTCTTCAGAGCCATAGTGGTCTCAAACCACTACACCATATTGGTTGAAGGAAAATTGCATGATGAGCAGAATTCTTATTCATAAAGCAATCCCTTAATTTTGCATGCCCCCCCCCCTCAAAAATGTTCTGAGGCCTCTTCTTAATTTGGTTGTTATATGTCAGCCTTGAGCCAATATTATGCAGCCAACTGCCATAAAGCTTGGAAGGCTGCTGAAAATTATTGAATTCTTGGAGCAGAGGTTGAAAATATTATTTCAAATTGAACATTTTTCAATGCATTTTTTCACAATCTAGTTAGCAAACACATATGCCTGAACCTAGTTTTATTAAAGCACATAGGTGGATTCAAACATAGTTACTAGGCCTGGTTGATCAAGAAAAAATTTGGTTCTAAAATTGATTTGTAATTGGGGTGTTTTTTTGTTTCGATATTTAAAATAATTACAAAATTTTCCCAAAAAAAGTTTCGGTATTTACGAAATTTCGTAAATATTTACAAAACATTTTGTAAAGATGGCGGACCCCCCCGCATGCGCAAAAACACTTCCGAAGCTTCGTTATTGGCGCGGGGTCGATTCGTTAAGGATAACGAATCGATTCGTTAAAATGGCGGACGCGATCGCGCATGCGCAAAAGCAGCTTCCGAAGCATCGTTATTAAATACGATTCGATTCGATATTGAGATAATAACGAATCGATTCGTTAAAGCGAATATTTTGTATTTTTTTAACAATAAAAGACAGGTATTTTTAGAAAATATTCAAAAATGGAAAATTAACCCAAAACTGGCCCTGATGTGGACCAAACACAGCCACGAGACAGGACAAATGAGAGCACACACCAACAGAAGAGTCTTTTCTTTTTTAGAATATTTTTTGTATTTTTAAGAATAAAAGGCAGGTATTTTTAGAAAATATTCAGAAATGGAAAATTAACCCAAAACTGGCCCTGATGTGGACCAAACACAGCCACGAGACAGGACAAACGAGAGCACACACCAACAGAAGAGTCTTTTCTTTTTTGAATATTTTTTGTATTTTTTTAAAGAATAAAAGACAGGTATTTTTTAAAAATATTCAAAAATGGAAAATCAACCCAAAAATGGCCCTGATGAACAGCTAACACAGCCAAAAGACAGGGCAGTCGAGAGCAAACACCAACAGAAGAGTCTTCTCTTTTTTTAGAATATTTTTTGTATTTTTTTAAAGAATAAAAGACAGGTATTTTTTAAAAATATTCAAAAATGGAAAATCAACCCAAAATGGCCCTGATGAACAGCTAACACAGCCAAAAGACAGGGCAGTCGAGAGCAAACACCAACAGAAGAGTCTTTTCCAACAAAGAAGAGTCTTTTCCAACAATGCAAGTCTTTACCGCAACCAACTAAGCCAACCCAAAGCAAGCCAAGCAGCCCTCCCGTCCCGGACCTCTCTCCTCCCTCGCCTCCGCGCAAATGAGCTCTGCGGCCACGCGGAGCCGCTTTTAAAGGCCTTGCCGGCCAATCAAAATCAGCCACGGTGCACTGCTTGGGTGCTTGGGAGCGCCGGATTGGCTCCCAGGCACCAGCATCCTCCATCCAATTTCCGAAACGGGCGGAAGCTCGTTAAAAGGATGGGGGATGCCGCTTCGATATTTTTAAACCCTTCTGGGTTTGAAAAAGTGTTTTGATATCGATTCGTAAATGCTAAAAATAACGAATGTTTAACGAATAACAAAATTAACGAACGAAACCGCACAGGCCTAATAGTTACATTCATTTCTCACTCAGATCAATGAGACTTAAACGATGACTGAGAGCTTGACAAAGTTATTCCTTTTATCACAAGAGCCATGTTGGTTGGGACTATGCTAGGAGCTGTCATCCAATAAGTAACATGTCCAAGTTTCAGACTACATTGTACCAATGATTTAAACAAGGGCATAGGATCAACTTGGGCTGAATTCATTCTATTTATTTGTATGCAGCCTTTTTCACAGTGTGGTACCCACTTTACAGTATTCACAGTGAAGAGGCTAAGAATGGGATTGCTCTTGATTTAGGAGCACTAAAATACCAACGCCAGTGGTCTTACCATTTCCCAACTGTGCTTCTTAGCTAACATTTGACACACTTGGAATTATTAATTCCTCTTGTCCAACTGTAATAATATCAATTCTGTTTACATTGAATTGTGCCATAAGTGTAAATGGTTTCTTCTCAAAATCATAGATGTGCTCGTGTAAATATATTTTTCTTCTTCCTTAAGCCCTTAAATATGTATAAAGCATACTACATTTCAGTGTCAGCATGTTTGAACCCAAGTATTGGATTAAAGAAAGAAACCTACTGCTTTTTTGTTTAATGTGTACACTGGCAAAATAATATATAAACTGACATATTCAATTATATTTTTTCAGTAAATCTCAAAATGTGAGTTATGGTTTACTGATTAGCTTAGAGTGCCCTTTCCCAAACACAGGTTGTTTGTTAATGTCAATTTTATAAACAAGCAAACAAAACCAAACCTTGAAACTGAGCAGAATGAGTGAGAGATCATGTACGAGTGTTTACAGCAAATGATGGATACACATTGCATGAATAAATAAAAAATTCAGACCTGTGTCAAGGAATGATGATATATTTTAAGGATGTTGCATCTTAATTCCCTGTTTTAACATACAGATATCTACCAGAGATCATGAACGATGGCCTCACCAACCAGATCAACAATCCCGAGGTGGATGTGGACATCACCAGGCCTGACACATACATACGGCAACAAATTATGGCCCTCAGAGTCATGACTAACAAGCTCAAGAATGCTTACAATGGAAATGATGTGAACTTTCAAGACACAAGTAAGACACTGAGTACTTGCACTCCGAGTAATATGGTTTCCTGCAACATTGCTTTCTGGCCCATGAAACTCTTCTGCTGTGAAATTCTCTTACATCTGACTATTCCAAATTATTTCCATCCCTACTACAAAGAAACTGATGAATTATGGTGGATTCTTCAGAAATGAAATGAAATAAACACTCCCACATTTGTCCTGGTCAAATTCAATAGATGTACGTATTTCCATCTAACAGTACCGTCTAATAGCGCTCCATGCAGTCACATCGGCCACGTGACTTTGGAGATATCTATGGCAGTTATTCAGCCTAGAAATAGAGATGAGCACCACCTCCCAGAGTTGGACATGACTAGATTTAATTTCAAGGGGAAACCTTTACCTTTACCTTACCTATTTCCAGCACAGAGAAACTTATATTGTACCTTTCAGCCACTCAGGGAGTTAAATGTTGAGAAATAAATGACAGCCCTGAGACAATACTCTGAGAACAAAAAAAAAGAGTCAAAACACTAATTCAGCATTAACAAGAATTCAGGGCCCTAAACATGGTGGATGAAGTTTTTTCAGTTCCCACCCACCCCCTCATTCAAATATTTTCATCTCAAGTTCTTTTCATTTCCAGCCCTAATGAATTTTAATCAATATTTCTCCAGTGAAGTGTTTTACACTCACAACTAAATTCTTATCCATCTTAGTTGAAACAACGGTTGTGATGCAGCCATCTGTTATCTGTTGAATAGAAACTCTGGAAGAGGATTCACTATTCAAATTTGATTGTATGACTTATAAGTATGAATAAAATATAGCTATGCTTGTTATGGTTTATTTTATATCTCACCTTTCTTTCAACATGGAAGCCAAGGCGATTCACTGCATATTTTAAAATAAAACTATTGTTATAAAAGCAATGCATTTTAAAAGTTACTAAATTAAATAAACAATCTCATTAAAACAGTTGAGTTGATTTTCTTCCTATTAGCTTTGTCCAGCTTTCACAACTTTCCTAACATTAGTATTCAGTGATATATTGTTATTCTTGAGGATCCTTTCTAGTTCCTTCATAGTAGCCCTTTTGGGTTCAGAGTCAGCCCTACCGTTGGACAAATTGAGGCAAAAACCCATAGACAGAAATTTATGAAAGAGACATCCATGCTGCAAACCCCTCAACCACTTCTCCTGAGGACTGCAACATTATTGGAAGACAAGACTGTCTGCTACCTTTGGGTACAATGGAAGACACTGTCCCATGTTCCAGTAATTGAACAATGTTGACCATGTATTTTATGTTTTAGAACCTAGAAAGTTTGCACTTCTAGAAATGACCAGATATTATTCTAAAAGTATTAAGTATTTATTTTTAAAGTATTGCTTTGTCTTATAGCTGCTTATTCATTTCTTGCTTGCCCCAACTTCCTTAACATGTTTCTATTCCACAGGTGAAGAAAGCAGTGGCTCAGGAAGTGGTAGTGGATGCACAGATGACATTTGTCCTACAGAGTTTGAATTCATCACCACAGAAGCACCCCTTGTTGACTCGGACAGAAGGGAGGTGTACGCTTCAGCGAGTCATCCCAGCCATTCAGGGTTCACGTGGCTCATCGTCTGCCTGGTCCTCCTACTGCAAAGACAGTGCAGATAATCCTAGCTCCGATCAGTGATGACTGCCTTTTAGCTACTGAAAATAGAATTATAACAACACAGCCAACATTCTCCTTTTCTTATGCTCTTGGACATAGGACCATGTCACAAAACTTAACAGTTTTCTACAAGAGAAGAGCAGTGCGGCAACCTGCTCCCCCTTGTGCTTGCCCAAAGAGTACCAGGTGTCAGAGTGGACGGTTTCCTCTTTGTTTCAGATAGCCGTGAAGACAATGTGCCCTCCTCAGAGACCTCTTTCTCACATTTTTATTACGGGAGACTTTTCGGAACTTATTTTGCTTTTATGCTGCAGGAAGAGAAGGTGGGGTGGGAAAGGGTTGGGGCACAAGGTGTTGTTTTCCAAGAAAAGGGGAAGAGAAACAAAAACCGTCAATGTGTTTCACACGAAACCTACAGCCCAGCAACAGCAACAAAAGTCAACATCTGAAGCTCAAAAGATAGATGGCAGCTCTTTTGGGGGATATTTCTATATTACACTTCAGGTTACACAAATGATGTTTACCACTGATACATCTCTGAGTTCTGTTTTGTTTGTTATGTGTCACAACAAAATGGTTCAGGGCCAGCCCTACTATTAGGCTAGATGAGGCAAAAGTCATAGGCAGAAAATTGATGAAAGGGACAGCCATGGCAGCCTCTCAACCACTCCTCCTGAGCTCCCAAGGCATGACACATATTTGGAAAACAAAGCTGTGCCTCCTAAACTAGCCTGCTACCTTTGGTTGCAATGGAAGACACTGTCCCTTCATCACTTTTGAAGAAAGAATTCACTGTCAGTCTCGTTTGCTTCAGTATATGGAACTGAGGGAGCACACAATCTTGTTTTGTTTTTGTTTTTTGCCTTAGACAGCACAAAAAAGTCCCACAACCCTGTACAAGTATACAATTTGTCTTCTATTGGCCATAAACACATATTGCCAATAGGTATGGAAAGAACCCAGACAATCTCTAGTAACAGAATAGCTTCTCCCACTCCAAAAATTCACATTATTTACCCCAGTTCATATCTGAACTTTCTTTGACTTCACTGGTTTACTATTTACTCATGATATGTAACTCACAAGGGAGTCCACCAGGTTACACACTATCACCATTTGTAATAACAAGTTAACAATTCCTTAAAATGTTTTAACTCAAGGGTTTGAACATGGGAGGAAATCACTTTCAACCTAATCTCTTTTCTTTAGCTGTAGGTTGTGCAGTGACTGTGTTCATTACCAAACCAAAATGACAGTTTTCAAAGGAACCAACGATGGCCACAATTGGATCGATATGTTAGGTTCTGTATAGAAATGGCATCCTTCGTATCTATTAGTTTCTGTATCAGAAGGAAATTCTAGTGCTAAAACATTGACACAAATATCTAAGTACTGATGTGCAAAATTTCTTTCACTTTTTTAGTCTTAGTATGACCATCTATTTTTATATATATGAATATATATATCTATAAATCACAGATTTAAAATTCTTAATTACAAGCTCAGGGTTGACACATCTTTGTAAGGGAAAAATGTTTTGTCAACCAGCTTTTCTTTTAGTTAAGCTGCATTGGAAAAATACATCCTTTCATAACTGGCAGCTGCTAGAATCAAAGAAGATAACTTTTTTGCATTTTGAGTTGCCTGTTTCTTTTTGGAATTTCTAAGGGGCACCCCACTTCATGAGATTGTTTTATTCGTGCCTTTTGTGCAAACAAGTGGGTGCGACACAAACATGGAAATACATGGAATTGTGTTTCATAGGAACAAATTGTACTCTGAGATGCTTTCTTCAAAAGTCAGGTCAATTGCCTTTATGGTTATAATACCCTCAGTGTACATCTAGATAGTATGGCCAGAGATCTCTGTCTTGGGTTGTGTTGTGTAACATGATACATACATAGCTATCTATATAACAGAGTTACTAAGCCACATGTGTTAAATTCAAGGCCCACAGGCTGAATCCAGCCTGCCACATCATTTTATGTGACCCCCTGGGCTTTTCAGTACCAGAACAACATAGTTACATTCATACAGTCTTACAATTACAAACAGCAATTTGAAGGCAACCATAAGTTTGATGTGGCCCTCAGTGAAAATTAGTTTGACACTCCTGTACTAAGGGATATGTTCAGTGAATTGACATGTTGCATAATGGGGCACAAGCAAAAATGTCCTGATTTGCACTGGGCTCTACAAATACACATTAGAAATTTGTGGCTGGTGTCCTGCTGTGCACTGATTTTGTTGACAATTAAGTCCCATTGTACATTGGGCCCACTGCATAAACATCTGTTTGCTGGCTCCTCAACATAGTAACTAAATAGCAGCCATTTGCCTCGTACAGATATTGCAAAACTATTCAGTTCTTTTTCCTACAGACATAATTCCCCTAGTAAATTCTGGTCAGTGAATTGATGCGTTGGGAAGAAAGCACCGGGTCATGTTCCCATAGAACAGTGGTTCTCAACCTGTGGATCCCCAGGAGTTTTTACCTATAACCCCCAGAAATCCCAGCCAGTTTACCAGCTGTTGGGATTTCTAGGAGTTAAAAACATATGGGGACCACTGTTTGAGAACCACTGCCATAGAAGATAAGTATAGACTGCCTTTCCACGGATCCTGAGTTGCCCATGACCCTCTTGCATTACATTGGGAACATCTAGCAGCCAATCTTTGATAGTTCTGAATTAGCATTATCATGCTTGTACATGTTGCAAATTAAGGTTTCAAAGGGGCTTGTTGTCAATGTGCTAAGAATGAGAAAAGCAGAGCAAGAAAGAAGAGAGAGAGATACAAGTCCAAGGCTCTGTAAAAACTTCTCTTAATGATTAAAGGTATTGGATTACAGTCTAGATTGGAGCCAGAAGCAAGCAGGGCACAAATCAGGATTTTAATACCTAAACCAACCAAATTGAAAAGGGCTCGCAAGAAATTCTTTGTAAGAATTAGATTGCCCAATCTGGATGCCCCTTTTAGTACAGATAAAGAAAGACATAATGCAACACATTCAAAGAAGGCAGTCATGTTGCCACTTCGGTATTGACCATGTAAACTGTACACATTTCAAAATAATCATTTCATTGTCTAATTATAATTAGCTGTCGAATAAGTAGTCAGTAGTTATGCTCACAGCACAAATGTATAAAATATACTTAAGCACTTTCGTACCCCATCCCCCTAAAATGAAGCATATATACAGCTAATTATTATATATGATAGCTGATAGAGAAGAAAATTGAAATATATTGATTCTTAGAGAGAGAGAGATTCAGGTATTATTATTATTATTATTATTATTATTATTATTATTATTATTATTAAAGGTATACATCAGTCCTATCCCAAATTACACAGTGATTGTTGCTGTTTATTTAAAGTAACCTATTTCCAGTCAACATTTGTTCACAAATATAGGAGTGGGGTGCAATTATGACGTTGCCCCTCAATGGGAATTCTGCCCAATGAAAATTTCATTCAGTCCCCAAATTTCTAGCACCTCAGAGGGAGAGATATTGAACATCATTCATACCTTCATATTCATTCATATTTGCTATGTTTGCAAGCTTTTAGGAACTAAGCTAAAATTTACACTTTCTCTAGCAATGGTAGAAAATCAGGAAGTGAAGAAAGGTTTCAGAATTCTTTTTTGTGGGCAATGCACTGCTCACATCCCCTTCCCCCATAGCTACCTCCTCACATTTTATCATTTTACAAAGTCATCTTTGCATGTAGCCCAACAGAAAAGCCAGAAGATTCCTCTTCTGGACTACTTCTGGACCTGGGCCAATGGTCATGTATATCAGAGTCCTATTTGTTTCAAGAGGACTGAACTGTCACTAAACTTCACTGAACTGAAGCTTACAGACCACACACAAAAACTGACATTTAACGTAAGGTAAACAAAGTGTTTCAATGCAGGGTTGTAGACCTTAAAGCTCCTTTTGTGTCCTTTGGTCCCTCCAGATTACCCAGACTGTCCCAGTTTTGGAACAGGAATTCACCTTTCAGATAGCTTGAAGGCCTTTAATTCTGTTATGTTTGGAATCAAGAAATGCCCTTATTTCATCAAAATTAATAGTAGTAGGTTTGGCAGTCCTTATGGCCTTTTGATGTTCCTGGGAGCAGAAAATGCCCTGACTTCAACCCATATGCATGCAGTCTTCACTCACTGCATATCTGCAACCTGGCTAACAGCAGCTCTTCAGTAACGCAGGCAATGCCTCTTTCCAAGCCTGTTGCTAAAGATTGTTTTAACTGAAAATGTCAGGGATTGAACCTTTGATGTGATATATGCATATATTGTTCCATTGAGCTGTTGTCTAGAGTACTAAGACAAATTATGTAGACAGCATGTTTTCCATTTACTACCTTCACCCATCCATAAAAACATTTTCATATTTTACAACCTTGAGTGGTACCCTTTCACCCAGGGCACATGCACACAAAGCATTTTAAGAGAGGAATGTTACCAAGGGCTTTTATTTCTCCACAATTTTTCTATAGTTTTCTTGATCTTATAGGGGCATGCTATGTGATGAACTCAATGCAAACACAGAAATTGTGTTGTTCAGTAGCTGAAGATCACATTATCCGTGCCTCCCTATGTGGTGGCATGTGTTTGATGACAAACAACTACAGATAATATGGAGAGTATATACTCATTCTGTGGAGATGCCACCAAAATCGCCATCCTTATAGCTATTGTTCTGTGTACATCCAACTCTGATGTGTAGAAGATGTCCACAATATGGATGTCTGCTCATCTCACTGAATGAAGCAGGTACCTACCATTCTCTTGGAAACTACCGCCAAGCCCCCCAGATGTTATGGATATTAGTTTCCAAAAGCTTAAAGCAGCATGATCAATGAAAGCAGAATTATTATGTATGTTGTACTCCAAAACATATAGAGGGCCTAAGGTTTCCTGTTTCTGCTTCACATAAGGGTGACTATTTTTTTCTTTAAATTTTTGTTTTAAAATAGTAATACATCTTTATTGTCGAAGGCTTTCATGGCCGGAATCACTGGGTTGTTGTAGGTTTTTTCGGGCTGTATGGCCATGGTCTAGAGGCCAACGTCAGGAGAGAATGCCTCTAGACCATGGCCATACAGCCCGAAAAAAACCTACAACAACCCAGTAACACATCTACCATATAAATTACAAATATATACACATACATAGACAACCCACCACCCACAGTACAATTACCCCTCAACCCACTTTCAGTGCTACCCACCACCTTGGCTTTCATCATTGATCCCTGCAGAGTTTATGCATGTTTTATTCAAACCTCTATGCTACTAGTTCAATAAATTCCTCTTGTTTTTATTTCTTAAGATCTCCTATCAAGTATGCTAAGGCCACCTTTCAGTTTTGTTCAAACGTTTCATGGCTTTCATATTTCCAGTGGCTAGAAATTTTGGGCATCTGTGCATAAACCCACAATTTATCCTTCCAATTTTTGATGCTTAATAATTTCTCCCCCTTCCAATCTTTGGCAATCGTAATGCATGCAGCCGCGAAGCTGAACAGGTAAATTTCTCTTTCTGGCTGTTCTAATCTATCTCTGAATATCCCTAATAGGTACATCCCACTTTGTTGTGGATCATTTTGATTGTTCCCTTTATAATAGACCTGCACCAGTTCACAAGACCACCATATGTGAAAAAAGATCCCTTTCTTTACTTTATACCTCCAACAGGATCCTGATTGTGAGTTGTCTATTTTGGCTAGGAGACAGGGGTTGTGTAACATCTGTAGAACATTTATATAAATTATCTCTAAAAGGGTAGCTATTTTTGACCCAGACATATGACCTCATCACATGGAATTTTTTCTGCGCTTCTCTATGCTGTTGACATGCTGCCAGCACGGAGGAATTGGGTGTATACCCAACTCCTCATAGAAGTAGCAGAGGAGGCAGCAGACGGAAGCTGGGGACAGCAAGGAAACAACATAGGAAGTGATCCTCCAACCAATGATAAAGTCGTACATTGCCCCATGGTTTTCCCCACCACCTATCACTGTCCCCTGGCTTCTGGACCTCAATGCGATGAGGTCCTTAGCAACTTCTGCAGTGAGTGCAAAGTCCTGGGATGCTGAAGATCTAGTAATGAAAGAATGATTTGAGAGCCATTTGCTTCAAACAATTCCAAACATGATGAGGGAAAAGAAAATCAGACATACGTATCTTCATCCACATCCCTACTAATGTCTCCAGAGACTTACCCCTCCTCAGAAGTGCACCAAACTCTATCACATCATTTTTAACCAGCCTCCAATATCAGAGGACATCACAAGGTATTGCCTGAGCTGTCAGTTTGTGTGCCTCTCAAAAGAACCATGTGTTAAAACTGAAAGCACACTGCAAACCCTCCACAGACACCTAACTGGGCCTTAAACAACAACTTAAACTATTATTCATTGCCATTACAATCTTCTAAAGTTTCATGTTGCTCCATTTAGAGCCCTAGTATTTTTCCAACCATCTTGATTGATACCATGTGCTCAGCTCTTCTGCTTTCCTGCTGATCTCTGGACCCAACTATTTCAGGACTACTAAAGGACCTTCCACAGCTAATGTAGTGTGGTAAAGCCCCAGGGGTATATAATTTCCAGTGCTGTTTCTGTGCTCATATTTACAGGGTCTATAGGGTAATGGAATTTGGTGTTCACCCTACATTCAACATCAGTTTTAATCAGTTTCTTATTGTGTCTAGATTTATGCTATCAACTTTGTCTTCCTATCACTTCAGACACTGTAGTTCTTATTTGGCCTTTGCCAGTGTATTCCTAAAATAGAAACCAGTTGAACGCTCATCTCATAAACCATAGCCCCATATGTCCCAATGCAGATCCTCTACTCTATCAATTACCTGCCTGACAGTCAGATAAAATGGTACAATCCAGACATATTAGCTACCTACTTCTAATATAACTTCCTATACCATAGATTAGGGGGAGGGGTGCTTTAGGATTGTCCTCCACTAGTCTGCCCTTTACAGCAGACTCCATACTCATTTTAGCAATTGGGCAAGTTGCTTTTATGTCCATGGCATACACACTATAGGATGTCTTCCCTGCTTAATTAAAACTTCTCTGTATTTCTTAAAAATGTTTTTGAAGTACACTCTTTCCACATTCCAGAATTTCTCAGAGAACACTATTGGTTGTTATTTCTTAAAAGAAAACTCTACAGCAAAAAAAAAAACCC